AAGCCAACAACTAAAGCATTATGGAAGAGGCTTTGGGAAACATATTTTTCTGGAAGCCCAAGGAAATATGACCAGCATGAGGCAGCAGTGTCACCTGGCTCGGAACAGGGTGGGGAGCAAACAGTGGCTCACTCACAGGACTTGGAGAATGGACCACACTGGAGCTCAGGAGCCATGTTTAGCATCTCCATTCTTATTACTGCCACTCTGCCCCAAATCTTCACATTCCTTTGAAGACCTCACCTAACTGCTTTCGAGCCACGAAGTTAGGAAGGAAGAGAAGAATGTCCACTATTTGTGATAATTCACACTTAGGACTTGCAGCTGAGAACTCACAGGTATGGGTTTTATATCCCAATTCTGATATTTCAAAAAAGCAAAAACAATGTCAACAAACATATGCTTTGTACAGGCAACCCTACCATTTTTAAAGACATGTGTCAGCCCAAGCCATCTTTATTTAAACAGTTGCTCACAAGTTGCTATTTTCATTTGTTCAGTATTGAATGCATGTAGGTAAGGACTATCTACGCAACTGAACAAAGATGAAATGGGGTATTTGGAGTGAAATGTTATTTTCTTTTCTTGTTATCCTTGGTCTTGCATGATACCATCACCTAATGAAACATAAGATAGATTTGAAGACCAGCATACAAAATGGGAAAGTTAAAGACTTACAAGGTTCAGGAAAACACCATGGCTAGTTTAAGAAGAACGGAGACTGAAAGTTTGCAGATGATACACTGCCATGTAAGACAAAGTCATAAATCACAAAATAACTTCATTTTGAACGTGAAGTATAAATATTGATGTTTCGGTACATTCTGCAAACACCCACTTAATAACGATTGGTCATAAGGACAGCTGATCTATAAGCAAACATATTGTGCAATATCCAGTTATTTTCAGGAGTCCTCTATGTTCACCTGATGGGCTCCCTGTGAGGTGTAATGCAATTAAACAAAGAAATGCTTTGTGGTTCCACAGGTCTGTGGAACCCAGTGTCACAACACACACGCACGCACGCGCGCGCGCGCGCGCGCGCGCGCGCGCGCGCGCGCGCGCGCGCGCGCGCGCGCGCGCGCGCGCGCGCGCGCGCGCGCGCGCGCGCGCGCGCGCGCGCGCGCGCGCAATGTAAATGTAAATACCCCTGCAAAGTGTCCAGAAGGGAACAGAGAGTCTTCCCTTCTCATTCAGAGGGGGAATAAAATGAGAAAAAGATTGAGTCATCTAAATGCATTGGGCCAATGAGAAGGTGGGCTTGACCTGAGTGTTGTTGATAAACACTGGGAACAGCAGTGGGAAGGTCAGGACAACTGGTGTGGGGGGCACTGTGATTAACTTTTCCCATCCTTATTATCAACTACAATAATTTGCTGGTTGTATTTGAAATCAACCCAGTTACTATAGATATTAACTATAGTGTAGGAAGAAAGCATTTAATTCATACAACATGAGTTTTCTTGTAGCCAGCTAACTAGAGGTCCAGGTTTACTGATGAATATCTATAGTCCTTCCTAAGCTGCAAAGTAGGCAACTATTGGAGAATCAGGAAGTATTTAAAAGTAGTGAAGGCATGGTCCAAACCAGAACAGATTTGGTGAAATCTTTATGCCCTTTGACTCTGTAAAGCTGATCTAAAGATTGATGTTCAGAACAATATTCTTGTTTTAAAAATAGTTATTTTACGTGCATGGCTGTTTTGTCTGCTATGCATGTAAGTGCACCATATGTGTACAGTGCCCTCACAGGTCAGAATAGGACACAGTATACCTGGAACTGGAGTTGCAGATGTTTGGTTGGGAGACAAAACATGTGGCTTGGGAGCAGAACTGAGGTTCTCACGTTTGTGAACCTTAATGCTTATCATAATGTTTGAGTCACCTCTTGGGCCCCAGCACAGTATCTATGAGATGACTGTGTGGTACTCCACCAAAGATTCTAAGATCAAAGTTAAACTGAATTCTCCAGAAATATATTCTGCAAAAACTGTGAGCAAAAGCTTATGAATCTTTAGCAAATGAAACCACCCAGATTGCATAATATCCCACTTATTCCTTTGAGAAAGGATGACATATTTTCATAAGCTGAAGCAAAATCTGTATTTATTACAGGACAGTGGGAGACCTGGGATTCATTTTAGAGACATAGAACATGGAAATAACCAACTTTCATTTCCTTATAGTTAATAATGGTTTGGTTATGGCAAACTGCAGGTATTTGTCTTCTTAACACATTCACCAACATTTTGAAGAACTACTGTTTCCTTGCCATCCCTATTTTAGACAAGACTTTCTAGACCAGCTAGCCTGGAGAGGTGAAATAATTTGTCAAAGGCCAACAGAGGCCAGGATTCAAACCAAGTTCATCCAAAGACTCTGTATTCTGTTAGTGTTAGGGCCTTTTTCTTTTAAAGAAAAATTTCTTCTTCAGTCTCATGCTTTCCTTGTTATTATATTGCTTTTCTAAGACTAGGACCCTTAGCCATCTCCTAATCAATTGATAATACATTTCAACAACATCAAAATGGGCAGATCTTTGTCCTTGTAAATATTTAAAACAATGTGCTTTTGCATTTATTAAGTACACTGATGTGTTAAGCACCACATATGCACGGAGGGATCCTTTTGTCTGTCACAGCAGCTTGCAAGTACAATAGTGTGAGCCTCATCATTTTGTACAGGATGTGGTGGTTTGAGTGAAAATATAGCCCCCAAAGGCCCATAGGAAGTGTCACTATTAGGAGGCGTGGCCTTTGTTGAAGTGGGTGTGGCTTTGTTAAAGAAAGTATGTCACTAAGGAGGCAGGCTTTGGAGGGGGCGGTCTCAGATGCTCAATCCAGGCCTACTGTGGCTCACTTGTTTCTCCTGCTGCCTGATGATCTGGATGTAAGACTCTCAGCTCCATCTCCAGCACTATGTCTGCCTGGACACTGACATGCCTCCTGCCATGATGATAATGAACTAAACCTCTGGAACTGTAAGTCAGTCCCAATTTAATGTTTTCCTTTATAAGAATTGCCACAGTCATGGTTTCTCTTCTCAGCAACAGATACCCTAACTAAGACACAGAAGAAATGTAGCCTCCATGACTCTAAACTGCCTTGGTTCACTGTGTGGATCTTTTCAATTTCCTGTATGGTTTCTTTACTTGCTGATGTTCAACTACTGGCTGACCTGAGAAATGACTTTGGAATACCTGTAATTTTGTCCAAGATCATTTTCCTTACATGTTTTACTCAGACTCATGGGTTTAAGGGCTCTGTCTGTGAGGAAGATGCTACAGTTTTATCTCTTGCTCTGATCTGTGCTGATCTTTGGGCTAAAATACTCAGTAGTTCACTCCTATTTCTCCTTGGATAATAATGAATATATCTGATTTAACATTCAAAACTGAATCCTTACTTGTCCTGAGAGCCATTCTTTCTACAATCTTGTTTATTTTTCTTAAAATGTTAACACAGTCTAAATACCATCCTAGTTAATTAAATTTGTATCTTCAAAGTGTCTTTAAGTAGGTCTCTAAAACTGCCAAAATCTTTTAATCTAAAATTTGTAACAATATATATGAGTCTAAGATGAGTATTGATACTAAAACCTTACACAAAAATACACACTTCCTAAGAAATGATTTGGGTATGGGAAAAATAAAGTAACAACCATCTTCCCCTGGCAAATGAAAGGTACTTCATAGTTATCCATCCGGGAAGTACATACTAAATGTATAATGAGATCCCAATGCACACACTCTGGAATGAATGGGATGAAATAGACAAGAATACCAAGTACTGTGTGAAGAAGAGAAGCAAAAGAAATTCTCACATGTTTTCATTGAAAATAAAATGTTTTACATCTAATTATATCACAAATGAGCAGATATTATTTTCTTTGCCTATTATATACAATCTATTTGTAGAAATAAAAAACTTGTTGGTGTATGCTCACTGGGCATATAGTGATGGGTTTATAAAAGACATTGTCATTCAAGTATATCATGAACTTTGACTATTATCGGCCCATATTCTCTCTCCAGCCTCCTCTTGCCTGTCTTGCTAGTCCTCTTTCTCTCCCTTTCTCTAAGTAGAACTGCTTCCACTTTAACACACACACACACACACACACACACACACACACACACACTCCACACATGAGAGGAAGTATCTGATATCTTTCTGAGTCTACGTCATTTATTTTGCTTATCACAGAGATACTTACACATCCACATTTTCTGCAGCATTATTTACAGTAGCACATTATAGATTTACTGGGTATCAACAATAAAATGGATAAGGAAAATATTAGATATGTACACATACCACACACAGACACACATACATACACACTGAGTTTTATTTAGCAATAAAGAAGAAGGAGATTATGTTGTTTGTAAGAAAATGGATGGATGTGGTCATCATGAGACTTAGAGCTGTACTGAAGAAATGTCATTTCTCTGTTGCATTCAGGCATTCTTGTCTCCTCTACAAGCATAGTGGACCATATTCCTACACACAGTGACTCATGTAGTCACCAACATTTACTCTTTGTAAAAGTCATCAAGAATCTTTGAGGAGAAAGTCAGTCTGCCTTCTTTTTCTGTCATTTCACTCTCAAGACTTCTGGTTGCTAGGTATATCTTGCAATGACATGAAAATCAGAAAGCCAGAACTCAAGTTTTGTGATTCTGGGATGCAAAAAAAAAATACTTTGCTATTTACTAAAGAAAAAAATACAAAAAAAAATGTGTAATTTGTATGGAAGAGCTGATTACTAGGGCAACTGTGAGAGAATGCGACTTTATTATTGAACTGTGGACACCAGAACTCTTCACCACTGGAAAGTAGTAGTTACCTCTTCCTGAATGCAGAGTAAAATGTGTAACCATGAAATCCTAGCTGCTGTGAGAGGGCAGCTAGTCACAGTTACCCTAGGTGGCTTTTCAGGAACAGACAGCTGATACCAACTAAAGCTTAAGCAACCACACCCTTCGGACTTCCAACATACCCATTACGGAGACATCATATTCTATGAGCAGCGTTGCTTCTTGTCCACACTGTTTAAGAATACTCATGGCCTCGGCATGGGTGGTTCCAAGAAGCCGAATTCCATCCACGCTGAGCAACCTGTCTCCAGGTTTGATGGTGCCTTCCCTAGAGAGAGAATAAAGGATCGGTCTTGATTAATTTTGCATAATGGGGCTCAGATTTAACAGCCACTTTGCCAGAGTCATGCTTTCAGGCACAGTCTGCCATCCATCCCATTTGCATTCTTTTCAGGCCTCAAGAATGACAGTGAGAGTGTAAAGAGGTAACCCTTAACAGAAAATTGCTGTAATACAAGAACCAGTAATGAGAAAATAACTACATATTAGCAAATAACCTGGTCACCCACAGTTAACTCTTGGAGGACAAATGTAAGAGAGGCACATTTTCCCTCTTGCAGGCTTTCCCTTCCAAGTCTAAAATTGATTTATTGGAGCCCAGGAAATAGCATTCACCTATTTTCCCCAAAGTCGGATTGAACAGAGGAGCCTTCTAATTCCATCCCATCTATTAGCCATGAGCCCAAGTGTATTGGTGATATTTTTCCTAGTCTGTACATTTCCCTACTGAATTATGAAGCCATTTGGCAGTCATTAGCGCCTATCCAGCCTCACCTGCTTTGGAAAAGGCAGGCAAATAATATTTTCCCTGCTGTGAACACAGTCTTAAGGCACTAGGAGATGATGATAAGACATTAGTGACCTGAACCATGGGTGCAGGGTGAAAGTAGCCCCCAGATCTCTGTCTCTGCTTGGGGGACAGACATGAGATGAGAAAGCCAAAAAGACACCTGTCAACTGTGGAACTGGGGAAGGCTATAAACGATCTCTGAAATAAACATCGTTCACTTAGATAATTCTAAGGTTTCACATTTAGTGCTCAGGTTTCTTTGGATTCTAATTCCATTTGACAATAATTTGTACCTTCCTCCTGAAATTCCTGTGAACCCTAAAAGTAAAGACTAATGAGGAATGTATATAAATTTATTTTCTTTAGAAAGAGCAGTTCCCAAGAGAAGCAAGGGCAAGAGAAAATTTGAAACTCTTCTGAAGTTAGTATTTTGTGTTGTCTCCTGCAAAGGCAAATAGATGGTAGATGTCTGCACAGTTGAGGCTCCAATATCTCCTCATTTTCTTATTTTACATGAAATATCATCTTCCTTAGAAGTGAGCTCACAGCATGGGTTCTTGAGGAAATGACACCTGAACATGGACCTCTAGTTCTCTTTAGTGTCTGTCTTAACTATACTGGGCCTTTGTTTGCTCAGCTGTGAGAAAATAAAATGCTTCACTTATAGGGTTATTGTAAGACTAAAAAATATAGTATTCACTAAGCAGGTAGTGTTCTTTCTGGAATATAGAAAGTGCTTCATAAATAGTATTTATTGGCCAGGCATTGGTGGCACATGCCTTTAATCCCAGCACTCCAGCACTTGGGATGCAGAGGCAAGCGGGTTTCTGTGAGTTTGAGGCCAGCCTGGTCTACAGAGCAAGTGCCAGGATAGGCTCCAAGCTATACAGAGAAACCCTGTCTCAAAAAAAAACAACAAAATTAGTATTTATTGTGGTGACTTCTTTTCCAAAAGGTTTTAAAATCTATCTTGATTCTAAATGGATAGACAGAAGCAGTGTATCTGCTTCCTACCCTTTAGCAATATCTAAGGAAGGAGTTGTGTTCCTCCATTATTCTAGAATTCGCTTTTGCTGTCAAAAGACGACAGAGACACAAGCATCTCCAGAGACACTTAGATTGTAAGTTTACTTGGGACCCAGAAAGGCTTATGAGGAAAATTCTAAGAGTACTTTTCCTTCACATACACAAATTCTCAAGGAAAAGAAATCTCTAGAGATTGACAAATTTCTTACATCTGAGTAAATGTCACTCCTCTCTGACATATCGGTTCATCACCATGAGCTGATGCTACAGCACAGGGATGCTGATCATCTTAAGAGTCACAGTACTGTCCCATCTTCCCAGATGGGAACATGCAATGAGGAGGGGAAAACCTTATTTTCTCTGCTCCCACAGCTCAAATTCTTGGAGCTCTCAGATTCCCCCATATAACTTGTCATCTAGCTGTTCCAATTAATCATTTGTTCTTTCAGCATCCCCAGCTGTAGTCAATCTACTTTGGATAATGATAAAGAAAGATGGAATTTACCTGTCAGCAGGCCCTCCAGGTCGAACACAGGTTATCACAACTGGACGAGACTTATTCCTGTCATCATGTGCTCCCCCTAGCAGGAAAAAAAAAGAGGGCACATCTTTAAAATACTCTCATTGCTGCCTTTAATTACTTACAAAGTACTGGCAGAGATATTGAAGTACATTTGTGCATATATGGAGGAGAATGTGCAATTTATCCTCTGGCATTTAAGACCGTTAAAGGGCTTATTCAGTTTAGGCAGAATGTTTTTGAAGTCACTACCTCTTCACTTCTCAGAATGATAGAAAACATTTGACAATGGGAATGGCAAGGGGCTCACTAATTAAAACTACTGGTTTTAATTAATTAGAGAACACCTCCCAGGCATAAACAATGCACAGGTATGCAAACCTCATGCTGAACAATGTAGGCTATAGGATGGATGAAGAAGCATGTCTTCAACCATATATAAAATAAAATAAAAAAACTCAAGGGCCATGTGGGAAAAAAGAGAGAGAAAGAAAGAAAGCAAGCAAGGAAGGAAGGAAGGAAGGAAGGAAAGAAAGAAAGAAAGAAAGAAAGAAAGAAAGAAAGAAAGGTGATCACTGTGGCAGGAGGAATCCTCATGACTGTGAAGTCAGCCTGGTCTATAGGCTATTTAGTATGCTCCAGGCTTGCAAGGTATCCCGTCTAGAACAAAACTAAGTGGCTTAAATGGACACTATAAAAAGTAAAGTGTTCAAAATATAAGGGAAGATTTGGCAGAGTTTGTCACACTAATTGCAAACAGGGATTCAAATTTTGCACAAGGAAAATGTCTCTAGAGGAGCTTATAGAGCTATGACTTGGAGCTTCAGATGAAAGTTAATCCATGAGAAATTTTCATTTTGATTAATCCAGGACTGGTTTGTACAAGTTCCTTCATCTGTGCTCCCCAGCATGTGCTTGTGGCTACCAGTGAGGGACCACTCACCACAGTCCAGATGTGGCAACTCACCCCACATCTGGACAGGACAGAGTTCATGACCTATTTCCTGATAGTCAGCTGACACCTTTCAAGTCATTCATTGGTCCTTGTTCTACACACACACACACACACACACACACACACACACACACACATTTCTGCAAACAAGTTTCCCCAATGCTGAAAATGGTAGTTTTAGGCTTAACAGTTCCTGTTTTTCTATTCTTTCTTTGGCTTGAATTTCTTATCCATTGTTTCCCTGGGAAATCATGTGAGCAGTCTCTAGTTTGCAGTATCAGATACACAGGTTACAGCTGATGATGAAGGCCATCATCAGCTCTTCTTCAGTGAGTGTGTGGTGTAACAGACTGTCACTTACCAAACCTGGCACAGGGGGAAGTAAATGAAAGGAATCCAGCCCAATAGAAAGGTTAAGAAGCATTTGCTTTTGCAAGGTATTCCTAAAAGGTACACTTGCACTGCTGTGATGGAACCGATTTAGAAAAGGATTCAGGTTGAAAACAGCAAGAAAACTTACCATAATTTTCTCCGATGCAAGCTTAAATATTAAACACTGAATGCATGTTAATTGAGTTCTAAACTTCTTGATTGTTGATATTTTATCATTATTGAAATAGTGCACTAAAAATGTGCTTAGGTTCTAGGAATTTGATTTTTCAAAGTAAAATATTCAACTCTGACAAGTGATGCTAACTGGTTATAATGACATCCAGGTTGGACATGGAGCTCATGGTAGAGGAGCTCAGCATGCATGAGACCCCAGGTTCAATATTTAGCTCCAGAAAACAAAGACAATGCCAATGTCACAGGAAAGATCACATGTGAATATCAAGCATATATTTCAGCCTCCAGTGATCTGTGCATATACACACATAAACTTTTGAAATCTCTGAAAATTGTTTAAAGGATATTTTGGTAATATTATGTGTGGAATTCAGTTGCATCTATTCACTTTATTTTGTAATGATAAATTGTTATTGGCTCAGGTTTCTCATTAGCAATTTGATTTATTGTCAATTAATCTTATAGTAACTATCCACAAATATGTTCAGCAGAATTAATCTTGGCTGCAGTTATTCAATAATTAGGAATTTTTGCATGTGTTTTAAAAACATTTACCCTTACAGTTTTTAAGGGAAAGAAGATTTGTATAGACCATCTTTCAGCCTAAATACCTTCTAGAGAGAGTTTTCACTAATCTGTCCAATTATTTTTGTTCAAAATTTTAAAATGGTTGTGGTTAGTAACCTGGCCTTGGAACCTATTGTGACTCTTAAAAATAGGATTTGGCAAGAGACATTTTATAACCAGAAAACTGCCATAATCACTGAGCCTGTTGGGAGCCAAATATCAGGGCTTGGCATGAAATTCTAGGCCATGCTTGGCAGGCCACATAGTTAACCTTTACATAGCAACCTCAGCTCAAGAAAAGAAACAACCCAGTTCTCCACCCACAGGCTCAGTCACCTAGGCAATCCCTTCCTGGACCTCTTACTCATGAACTCTTTACCGTGCCAAACATCCTCTTTGTGGCTTCCTAATATCCTGCCTATACTAACACCTGGTGCACAAACAACCCATTCTGCCCCTCCCCATATCCTGACTATGTAAGCTAGCCTGAGAAAAATAAAGTTTGCTACTTGATCAGAATCCTGTCTTGTGGTAGTTCTTTCTGCGTCTCTTGTCCCCATTCCCTATCCCTGACTCTCTTGCCCCAGGTTGACATCCTGCAGGTCGGGACAGAGCCAAACCATATAATACACTCCTAGCTTATCCTTTGTTTTACTCACTTAGTGGAAGCTATCAACTCGTGTCTTAAATTCATTGACCTTAATTCTTTGAGGTAGGATCACTGTCTTAAGATGCCACAGCACTTAATGTTATCCTGACATGTGGATGTATGCTTACTAAATATTTCATTGATTTGTTTGCTAATGACTAGTCCAGATTAGAACTAAGCATCCAGAGCTCAGCAGTAAAGAAAAGCTTGTCCGAGTGAACACAGCTGTTTAGTGCTTGATGCTTATATATTTACTAAGATGCTTGTTAATGTTCACTAATATTTCATCAATCATTACTCCTGAAAAGTACATTGTTATAGGTAACAATAACGACAGAAAAAAATTCCCCCCAGATTTGTAGTGTTAAATTTCCTGATGCATACATAATTATTGGATCTTGTTATCACAATATGGATTAAGAGCTGCTAATGTTGCAATAGTCTTTCAGGGATGAAATCGCTAATAAGAAAAACAAAGTCATAAAAACCCACAGTCATAGTTCAGAATTAATGGAGTCACTTGAACTCTTTAGTATCAATGTCACCCCTTAATGAGACAGATTGGGCTGATACACATGGGTACTCCAAGGATTAGATTATCTTTGGTCCATTTTTAGAAAGCTGAAATAATAAAATTTATTTCAAAAGAAAGTATTTTAAACCAAGTGATTAATCCTTGGATTAAGCAGAACTTCGTTTTCTATGATGTCACATTTTGAATGTACTTAGGATTTCTTTAGCTATCCGTGTTTCATTTGGGCTGCCGGCATCTTAGTCAAACAGCTGTCTATGTGTCAGAACACCTGTTTGCATCTGCTGATCTATTGATTGTGATCCTTAATCCTTAAGCCACACCTATCAATATTTTTGATTCAGCAATACAGACCAGACACACGAACAAAGGGACAATGGAAGTTGCTAAGTCAGTATGGTCATTGGGATCTGACCATACTACTAAAAGTAGCTACTCATGCTGTACACTGAACTAAAACAAAATTGAGTTTGGCATTTGTTTGATTCTTTTTCATTGTCTTATGTGCTTAATGATAACTTCACCCTAGGGAAGTTTTTAAGGATGCCTTTTAGTATCTCACCGAGAAATTCTCTAGGAACATCTGAGGGTCCACAGTTATTAACCATCACCTACCTCGTATTACAAAACCAAAGGTGTTGCCTTCTTTGTGCAAAGTGACCTCCACTGTTCGGAACATAACACTCGATCCTTGTACAGCTGTATATAGGAACAAGATGGGAAAGCATAAGTTTAAGGCCATAATAACATTTCTATTATAACTTTTTCAATGAGACACAGTAGGCTTGCAAGTTCTGTTGCAAATAATTTATTTTGAATTAAAAAGTAATAGTACCTATGAAGTCTGAGAAAAAAGAATTGTAATGACATACAGAGACTATGAGTAGTTAACAATATAAATGGCCCATATTGTTCCAAGAAGAAACAAAGTCATAGCTAGTTCCTTCTTTGTGGAGAGACGCATTCTAGATAGGGAATGATATTTATATTGCTTGAACTCTACATAGCAAGCAAGGCAATCTTCAATAAATAGAAACATTTCCCTTTGTGAAATACAAAAGCAATATGACTGTTGAAAAACTTATGAAATAATATCTGCATTCATTTTTAGTTTTGAAGCAGAAATATGAAGAAAATTCAATTTTCTCAGATCATAGTCAATAGATTGCTGATGCAAACAGATGTTCTGACACACAGACAGCTGTTTGACTAAGATGCCAGCCGCCTAAATGAAACAGGGATAGCTAAAGAAATCCTAAGTACATTCAAACATTGAGGATATAGAAAACAAAGATCTGCTTAAATCTGCCTATTACCACTGTGTTCTATTGTTTGCCTTTTATTGCTCTCCTTTCAAAAAGGAAATTGTACTGCTGAGTTGAAGTCTCTAATTATATTATACCATACATTTGGGTATCTGTCATATAAAGGCATAGTCACTAAAATATTCTGTGAAACTGCTTTTGGGAAACAATGAGTGGTTTTGACTGTATGATAGACTATTGCTATATGAAAAATTGTACAAATTAGTATTTTAACATGACAAGTACAGGAATGATTTTTTTTGTGGACAAAGAAGACTTGTATGCTGTTTAGAAGTAGATGGCTTCCAATTCTTTAAAACATTGTACAGGAGAAGCTGGGAATGGGGGAGCATACTTGTAGTCACAGCACTTAGAAGGCTAAGGCAGGAGAATTGCAAGTTCAAGGCTAGTCTGGGCTACAGAGTTATTTAAAGGACAGTCTAGGCTACATGGTGAGATGTATGTCAAAAAATATAATAATGTCTACAACCATAGTTATCATCAATAACACATTTTTATACTGTTACTAGAGCTTAACATGTTTCAATAAGAGCTACCAATACAAAACCCATGATTTATGATGCCTGAGTTACAACATGTTGGCTTTACTGTGACATAGAATGTACTCACAATATACCTTGCTTGCACTTTCTGTGAGATACTCAACAAATGACATGAGCTACTTGGCATTTAATTAAAAATAAGCCTGTGATGATGCTTTACTGAAAACTGGGCTAATTTCGTGGCATGAGTACATTTCAGGTGTGTCTGGCTGAGACGTTTGGTTGGTTAGGGTTATTTAAAGTATCAAAACTTCACAACGGCTTCAACTCCAGTTTGGTTTCTCAAGACATAGCTCCATCCAAAGTCAAGGAGCTTCTGCATATAGACATTTTAAAAGAACCATTGAAAATTACTCACTTCTCGCCATCTGTACAACTAGCTAGTGGTTTAAATTAAGCATTTGTTGTGGTTATTTTTAAAGATAAGAAATGCTAAACCCTTAAAGGGACCCTGTAGGAACAATGATAAAAGCTAAACATTAAACTCAGAGTCAGACTGGTACACAAATTTGATCTGCCAACTACCAGGCTGGAACATAAAGTACAGGAAAAAGCTGGATATGTTGACAAATAGCATAAATGCACAGCTGAACAAATGTTTGGCTATATGGCAGATTTAATTGAATGTCATTTCTAGGCTATCAGGGGAATTTCAGTTTACTCTAATCAACTAGATACAAACAAATGAAAGAATTGGGGGATAGTTTTAATTAAATGAAGAATAAAATTGGCCTTGAACTAAATGATTTCTTATCTCCATGACCCAACAAGCCACTCAAAGAAACTAGTTTTGAACACGATATATATTTTCATTTTATTGGTGTGAGGAAGGCAAAGACATGGCGAGAAATACCCGTTGAACATCTAATGCGTGCCCAGAACTCAGAAAAGTGGTTTGCAAATATTATTTTATTTAATCATTAAATCATCTTTCAATTATACACAACCAAATTCCAGCTCTGGGCCACCTGTGCTTGTTGGCTGAATGTCTGTCCTGGGAGTGTGCAGTACTGGAATTTTAATTTTGTTTTAGCTTTCTATAGCAGGCCACAAAATTCTTATAGTTAAATCTAGTCTGTGTGAAAACTAAGGGATTCCCCACAGCTTCAGATCATTTGCATGCTACTCTTCATCATTTAAGATGATAGCTGTTATTGTTGGCAACATTTTAATACAATTAACAAAACATATTGGATCTTTATAGCTTCTATTCACACTATTGGCCCTGGCTGACTTCGTTTGCACACCCAGTATTGGTATCCTTGTGTTGAGTGTGTAAATGTTACTCATTATTCTACAGAGATGTAATGAAGAGGCTTAGCCAAAGGATCAAAGGGCTAGGCAAGGTTGCCTCAGTATTTTAGTTGTACCATGGTTCCATTTTTCTGTTTGTGTGAATACGTGCGTGTTTCTGGAAAGCTGTTTTACTACAGTAGATGAGATTGCTCCTAGTCAAATAGTCATCCACCATCCATCTTCCCAGCTTCTACAGAACAGGAGTTGAGCTGTTTCTCAGGTCATCATGTTCCCTTGCCCATGTGTCCTGCTTTGCCCCTGTGAGGCTACAGGATACAAGTAGAGGCTAGAAATGTGCTCCAGTGGGTGAGCCTGCCCTCTTCCCCTTTGCCACAATGAGGGGGCTATAGAGCAGAGCTCCTACAGACTCCACATCAGAATGAACAGCATGGAGGGATTCTTCAGATGCTCCTCCTTAATTACCACTCCCACTATGATGACCCCGTAGGGTCGAACAGAGATGCCACACAGTGACATGCATTCACCCACCTATTTGAGTGAAGAAAAGATTCCTTCTGTTGGAGAGCTGGTCTCACTCAGCTGGTGATTTAAAGGGAGATAAAAAGACCTGACAGATTTCTCTTTTTAATTATTAAACAGGGGAAAGCTATAGTTCCATGGTTTAAATGGAAACACCATTTAAGTAAATAGAATGTCCCCAAATCACATTCTTTCTCATTGTTTAAGCTGGTGATAAAATGTTAAGTGTCAACTGAAAACGGATAAGAATTCCTTAGCATTTCAAAATTCCACTGGGGTTACATGAACAGAGAGTGTGAAGGTACTTTTGGGATCAATGTTTGATGCATAAATACAGAGGATACACTTTGCTCATGTCCTCCCCAAGTAGTTCTGAAAGCAATAGATAATTTTCAAGTTAAAGTGAAGTATGGAATACAGGTAGACCAAGTATTTCATTTCCATAAAGAAACCAAACCTTAGGAAAGATAAATGGATTGCCCAAGGTCAGATTTTAATTTTTTATTTTAATTTATCAGATTGCAGACATACCTTCTCGGCTTTTTCTGAGCCCTTGAGTAGGCTGAGAATCAGACAACTCTGATGTGGGTGTGTGGTTCTTGGTATTGGGTGGGGGTGGAGGTGGGGGGTAGAGAGACACTAGCTTGGATGGGTCTCAAGTAGCTGCGATGGACTGTTTAGTTTCAGTGCTCCAAGCTAAGTACAGGAGAGGCTTGTTAATGCCTTTCACCTTCCTGAACTCCTAGGTCTTATTAATTTCTCAAACATAAGAGAAATAGATAGAGATTATCCTTGGAGGATAGGCCTCTTCCATCTGAATTCTATCACGAAAAATACTTTGGTGTTTAAAAGCATATTTTCTCTCTTCCTGTCAGTTTTATTGCATGAGGAAGTCAAATCTATTTAGGTACCAGTCTCAGCAGATTTAACTCCTAAACACGTTGGATACCAACCTTTTCCTCTTTAACTCTGTAGATGCTGTATTAGTCAAAGATATCTCCTCTCTAGGAAAATAGTAACAGCCTCTGGCCAATAGGTCTGAGGACCTATTTTCTATTTAGTTTCTAAAATGGTAACTCAAAACAAGCTTGTCTGACAATACAGTTTTAAGAGACCTTAAGGATTTTTCAACACCCACATCTTTCGTGGGGCCTCATCATTTGATTCCTGATGCCTCACTGCCTGCATCCCTACCCTGGGTATCTTTGCCTTTCCTCTGTGCTCTGACAACCCCATCCTGTCCAGCCTGAGCAGAACACCGTATCCTCTTACTTTATTGCTAGACCCTTTGAGCATGGCGGTCCTCTTCCTATTCTGTCTGTACCATCCCTTCCCATTCTCCCCAAGTCCACAGCTCTGAATCATCCATGATACCAGACAAATCCCCATTCTGGGCCTGACCCTATAAACTATATGGAATTCCTTTAGGAAGAGAATGTGTTTTACTGATACACACACCCAGTGGAAGGCAAAGGTATAAATGAGAGACACGTCTCCATAGAGCTGGTTTTCTTAACCCCTGGAAATGCTTTGAGATAATGATTTAAAGGCAAATAGACCTTCATAAAGTTAAAGAAACCACAGTGCCCTTATAACAGTAACGGTAATAGTGGCTAATATTTGCCAAGTATGTAGCAATGGCCTAAGTATGTGATCACACTGCTGAATTCCTACATGGCTAGAGTACATCTAGCCGTGACTGTAGCCATTTAAAGGGCATCCCAAGGCTCAGAGAATTTAACAGAGCCCTGGTGCTTAATTCTGGTCCCCTAGTCCCAAACACCTCTGCATTACCCTCAGTCTCAATTTACATTGAAACCACTTGCCCACATTGCTGGCTGGTTCCTTGATATTTCTTTGTATATGGCAAACACGCATCTCAAATATATTCAGTCTTCCCCCAACACGTCAGTTCTCCCTGCCATTTTGCCCAGCCCCACTAATGGTAACTATGGCATTCCAGTTGCTCAGGCTCAAAATCTTGGCATGACCCCAACTCTATGCACAGCCTGCCTCACATTCATTAGGAAACCCCGTTGGCTCCTCAGTCAAAACACACAGCATCAGACTGTATTCCTTCTTCATCACCACCATTTCTCATGTGGGTCACTTTAGTATTCTCCCAACATGGCTTCCTATCTTTGTCTCCAGAAGCCATTGCCTCTTTCTACAGCTGCCAGAAAGCCTTGAGTACTGTGGGATCATGTTTTGTATCTGTTTGAAGCCAGGCTTCCCAGGTCATTGAGAATGCAGCAAAAAGGTCTTGCCAGAGGCCCACTCGAGTACCCCATCTTACATTTCTAACCTTCTCTTAATTCTCTTCCTGCTCATTCTAGTCTCCCCATGGTGGCCTCAATGCTTCTAGAACAATCACCGGTATTGTCTAGCCTTTTTGCTCTTATCAATGACTGTTTTTTCTCTGTGGAGCGTTTCCTTCAGAAATTCATACAGCTGTTTCCCTCACTGCCTCCAAGTTCTGGATCTGTGTCATTTTCTCAATTACTGTTCCCAACCTCTCTATTTAACACTGTTCCTACCCCACCCCCAATTACTTCTGATATATTTTCCCCATCCCTTAGGATATAACATGGTTATTATGGTTTTTGCTAAACACTGCCTTACCCTTGTAGAGTGTAATGTCAACTGATGTTCCTAGAATGCAGTCATGGCTGGAGCACAGTAAATATTCAACTCACTGCTGAACACGGATTGTCACCAACTATTCATAATAATCTTAAGTTCTCACTGGTAGGAAAGAACGAAGAGCTGTCTAGGGTCATATCTCTGGTGACAGCTCATCAGAGGAGATGGGAAACTGGAACAGCGTAGCTTCAACACAAGGCAGCCATAACACACAGCAGAGCCTTACCTCATGAGAGTGAGGGATTGGCCTTTGGAGGCAGACAGGCAGGGTTCTAATACTTTGTAGCCTACTAACTGGAGAAAGCCTGGCCTTGTAACTTTGAAGGATAAAAAGAACGATTACACATGTCTGTCTTGTAGCTTCGATTACTTGTTCCATTATTTATTAAAAACTTGTGTCAGTGTTTTACAAATGCTGACTCAGTCACTACTCAGGCCAAGCAGTGATCGCCTTTTTGCAGGTGGGGAAACTGAGACATAAAGCTTAAGTAGCCCTCTCAAAGACACAAAGCAGGTAAAAGTGAAGCCAGATTTAACAAGGTCTTGAACTCTGTCTGCTGCATTCATTACTATCATCATTACTTAATAATAATTAGATGTGATACTATCTTTTGATTTTTTTTCATGAGCTTATCTACTGAAGGAGTCAATATAAAACATGTAGACATGCTTTTCCTAAATGTAAGAACAATATTTGGATAGTACTTAAAGCATGGATTTTTAAAAAATCATGTTAACTGTTTATTGAACTGGCTTAAGCGGCAAAAATGTTCAAAGATCACTTTAATGGAACAAATACAGCTTCTAGATGGTTTCATGGCTAACTGTGTGCTTTCAGTTCTTTCTGAGGAGATGTGTAGTCTCCTGTTTCAAGTCACTTTGAAATATGAAGCAACTGCTCTCCCACTGCTGGAGTGGCATTGATGGCAAAGAGAAAAAGAGAAGCCAGCTGTGGTAGGAAGCTGTGCCAGGGTTGTTTTACTTACAGACTGGTGGCAGCTCATACTCCACTTCCAGGACAACTCTTTCCCCAACATTTTTCAGCAAGCTGATGATCTCGTCGTGACGGAATTTGGCCAGGTTGATTCCATTCACTGCTTTGATGTAGTCACCCACATCCAGCTGGTCACTTCTGCAAAACAATGTCGCTACAGTGGACACATAGGCCACTCTTGGTTTTCATGTTTCCTCATCTAGCTTAAGAGGTCAACATAACAAATACCTGGCTTCCTAGGCTGTGACTGGACCCTAAAAGAAGATGTGTAGCTGAGCACAGGTGGGATGCCTTTGAGCTAGCCTACTCAGCCTGCCTGCTGCTATACACTGGTACCTGCCTGCTATATAATGTAACACAGTGGTACCTAGCACATCTGTCTTTGGTGTGGCTCTAATTGTTCCCCAAACTTTTTGCCTCTTTTATTTTTAAAACATCATAAAACAAAACAAAAATTTGAAAACATCAGTTGCTTGCCCCCTAGCATTGCTTCTCTAGGGATGGGTCCTGATCCTAGATACTTCAAATCTTTCCCCCTTCTTCTCTTTTACTTTAGTTTCCTGCTTTTTGGACATTTCAGATCTTTTTAATGTCTTTATTGGGAGTGGGATCAGAGTCAGAGCCAAAGAAATAGTCAACATACTTTGTTTCTTATTGTTTGCATTTCAAAGAATAAAAGTTATCTGTAACTGATCAGAACTGATAAAAAGAATACTGAGGAAGAAGAAATTATAGAGAAAGATGTGGGTTTTAGGGTCATTTCTACCATCTCTCATGGCACCCGCACTGCTCTGGGCTACCAGACAAACTTCCAAAGCAAGAGCAGGCACTGAGACCAGTGGCCCAAAGGCAAAGTGTATGTCACTGGACACAGTGACAAAGTAAGCTTACTGCCCTGTGCTTCCTCTACGAAACCTCTTATGTCCTGGTGAGAAAGAATAGTCTCCTTGGTAGAAAAGGAAACACTTGCCCTGGAAACCTGGAACTATGCCCACCTCTCTTCCTCACTCCATATTTCGCATCTTATGGGTCATCTGCTCCAAATTTAGTAGATCTGAATGTCACTTTCCCACTGTGGCCTACATGCTATCCAGAGGCACAGTCAGACCTTAAGCAATTCTGTCAAAATTAAACTTTCGAGAACTGGGCTGCTACCGAGGTGACATAGCAGTGGCTTCAGCACAGCCCAGGCAAGCTGCTGGCAGAGCCAGGGAGCCATTTCTGAAGCATGCCCGCTGTGCAACTGTGGAGAGTCGCTGCCTGGCAGATGACAGCTGTCGTTTATCTATCAGTGACCTTTTCTGGTAAACTCTATTTTTTTTAATTAATTATGCCCTTGTTCCTTTTTCTGTTTCTCCACAAAGCAGTTACCTGGCAGCAATCCCTCCTTGCCGCAGGTTGGACACTCTCGGCTTGCCATCTTTGTCAATTCCTCCTGATACCGTCAGGCCGAGCGTGGTACCTTCCTTCTTCATCAGCTCCACCACGGTGGAGCCCTTGAATTCCTCTGCAAAAGAGAAGCATTCAGCCCGTTAAACGAGAGAATAACCACCAGTGTTGGCTGTTGGCTAAGTGATTCCACTTTCTGCATTTCCCCTACTTTTTCTGTTATGAGAAAAGACCTCTGTTTGCATGGTAATTGCTGTGTCTCATGAAGTTGACTGTGCAGATGGCACTGAGAAAGGCATTCTAGGAGAGATGATTAACCCAGCACTGGTGAGCTAGTCCACTCTGGTTTAACAATAAACAGTCTGAATCCTCTTAGGTACGAATGACGGTATGCTCCCCGCGGTTTCTGCCATTCACTAGAGACTTATTTTCTATTATAACTCAAAATGCAACACAATGTTGTCTGCTAGAAGGAACACAGTTTTAAATAATCATACAAATGCATAAAACATGGTGGCCAACTCTCCGATGAGTGTTCTCTACATGTTGGAGAAATATTACCAACACCATTTAATCTTTAAAAAAATCAAAGGACCAGGTGACACTTTCTACCATTTCATGTAGAGTATGTCACCACACAGAGGGACAGCATTGTCTACAGGATTTTGGGGTAACTGCCCCCAAACTTCCCCTATTGGGGAGCACAAGATTTAAAGCTCACAGATTTTGTGGGAATAACATCTACACACTAATCAAGAAGTCTAATCTTTTGATTTTAGCTAAGGTAGATGGTAGAGTAGCTTTAAGAATATACTTCTTTTTAGTTGGGAGGTATTGTATGAGTGAAGAATCTATTTTCTACTAGAGAGAGAGAGAGAGAGGGAGAGAGAGAGAGAGAGAGAGGGAGAGAGAAGTCAACATTTGTTATGTGGAAGCTACTGTGATAAACTCTGTATTAGAGGGTGAACAGTCAACATTTGTTATGTGGAAGCTACTGTGATAAACTCTGTATTAGAGGGTGAAGACATGTAGGTTTGTTTCTATAAGGAAATTAGGTGTCAGGTCCTTCCCAGATTCCTGGTTGAATCTCAAAAATCATGAAAAACCCAGTTCCTTTAATTTAATTTTTTCTTTGGAATATAAATCCATTAATCTGGGTACCTCAAAAGCTGGTAATAGTCAATTACCCTCTCATTTAAAAATATTTTAAGTCTGTTCCTAAGAGCTAGTTTTAATTCCAAGAAAGAAAACATTTATGTCCCAGTTAATTAAGTCATTTGTACAGTCATTAATTCAGTAAGTCATTGAAGGCTTACAAGGAGCCAAACACCAAAAACTCAAAGATGGAAAACGTTAAGGCCATTATCTCAAGATGCTCAGAATAGGCACAGAGGCAAAGCCACAGTGTGGGGTGTGGGAAGGCAGACAGAGGAAGTCATCCTGGAAACAAGGGAAAAGAAAGGTGTGTGTTTCTAAATGCAAGAACTATTTTGCAGCGTTGCCTCCCGACCAATCTGCTCAATTTATTGATTAGGATTAGCTGAGCAGCAGCCCAGACCAAAGAAGGAATATAAATGAAGCAAAGCCCAGAAGCAAAGGTAGAATGTTCTTGGAAGAAAATGTGCTGAATCACAAGGACGTTGACTGCCAATAAGTATCTTTAGTCTCACAAGGAACTGATTCAGTCTGTTAGACTTGTTTCCAACAGGAGTGGGAGAGAAGAGGAGGTCCCGGAGAGGGCGGGATCTGCTTCTGGAATTTGCTTCCTGCTAACCTACAGGCTCTACTCAAACCATCAATCATTTCATGTCTTTTTTGGTGTTTAATGTTTGCATAATGATGCAATGGCAAGAGCAATGAAGACAGATACCTTCATTTGCATGAGTTTGCTTATATATCAAGACTTTACTGAACAAACAGCGCAGTAAAACAGGGGGACTTGGGCAAGTCAATATGTACTGCAATTTCTTCCCTTTGTGATTTAAATTGCAAATATCCGTCCACAAAAGAAGACCACAGCAAATACAGGGCTTTCAAATTCTCAGCAGCCCAGGGAACAGATAACACCTAGCTGACAAAGAAGAAATGGCTCCAGATTTGAGGTTTCCCTAATCACCATATTTAATTATCATTCAAAGAAAGAAAAGAAATGGCAGGTTTACATCTGCACCACCGCTTATTCAACATACCTGACATGAGTCTCACTTGTAGCCTGTCATCTAGCGGTCTGCTATTTTTCTTTCAGTCTTTTAAGATATAAAAGCTTTGAAGAGAAGGAATAGCCATGACGAAGGAAAGCAAAATGATCATAAAAAAATTCTTAGAACAATATGAAAATTTAGTAACATAGATTTTTTTTACAAAAGTAACATGCATGACAATGTACAGATAGCTTGTGTGTGTGTGTGGTGTGAATGTACATGTATGCTTGTGTGTGTCTCTGAGTGAGTGTGCACATATGATGGCCAGAGATTGGCATTGGCCATTTTCTTCAATTGTTTGATATCTTACGTTTTCTTTAATGCTAAAAACAAGAACAAGAACAAAACAAAAAGTGAAACAGGGAAAAGCCCTATCAAGCATCAGCTAACACTCCAATAGAGAGCACAAACTGCCATAAACAGGTTCAGTTTTCCTAAATTAATCTATGAAGTTAACAGTATCAATAAATGGATCAATATGATGTTTGGGGAACGTGACAGAATTTGTATAGCCATAGAAACAGAATTTGCATCCTTGTGGAGGTTCTGCGGGAACTTCCTGAAGGATCTAGTTTGTTCTTTATTTATTTCTGGGAAAGAGTAGGAAAAGCCTGCCCATCACGCCTTCCTGACAGAAGTCATGGAATGGTGACTGGATGTCACATGACCAAAGACAGCTCTTAGAAAAAAGGAGCTAGGGTAGAGAGGCCAGTGAAGTCCTTACTGCCTGACTCCCCAAGTTGCTCAGACTCCAGATGTGCTTGGATATATAGAACAAATAAAACAAAATTTAATGATAATAGAATAAAGCACCAGAAATGAATAATGGACACAGTGCATTCTGAACTCATAGTGAACCATCTATTAGATTACTATGTTTTCATAAAGATGTGTCAGGATAATGTTTGGTTCTGTGGAAGCCTAGATTTCTAGACACTCCTACCTCATTGTTTATTCAAAATTATTAGGCTTAGACTAGTAAAAGGGAGTTAATCTTGTTTTTCTGGAAGGTTACTGAAGTTTATGCGCTAAATAGAGAGGGAATTACTAATGCTATGAGCTTTGCTGACACTTGGGAGGGGGTGTAAGTGATGATTACTCTAGGGTGGCAACTGCTATGAATGAATAGACAGAGACCATAGTGCTGAAGCCTGTGAGAGTCCTGCTTCATGTGAGAAAGCGGTGTTCTGGATGGTTCCTGAGAACCTCAGTCTTGAAGGCCGCCCAGGTAGAGGACTGGAGGCAGGGGAGGGGTTACAGTCCCAGGATGCTGGCATGTGCTAGTCCTTGCAGTTTCTCAGTCCAGCTACGTCCCATGGCACCTACAAAACTTTGGAGGTACTAATTTCTGGGTCTCCAACTGAACCAGAACTCCCGTTGGCAGGATTGCTCTGTATTATATTTGTTTCCACAGTTAATAAAAACATTAGTTAAAAAACTTTTATGCAGAAAAATCTGACATCCACATTACAACTTGGCAGTTACTCAGGGGTTTATGGTGCACCTGTATCAAGCTTTTAATGATAAGTGGAGATCATTGTAGATTCATATGTGTAAGGAATAACGAGGAAGGCATTGTACCCTTTGTCTATTGCCAGAATCTTGTGATGTTGTAAGACATCGTACCCAGGACAGTAGCATCAGTGGAATCAAGTCACACAAAATTTCAGTTAGCATAGGCATAAGAGCATTGCTCTTCTGTAGACACACCCTTTTCCCACCTGTGCACCCCCTTCCTTAACCTCTGGTGACCTATAATTGCTGTTTTTGTAATTGTGGTGTTTCAAGAATGTTAAATAAGTGGAATCATGTACTGTGAATGAAAGTAAACCCTTCAGGGCTGACCCCCTCCTCCTCTTTCTCCTCCTCCTCTTCTGACATTTAGCATCATTCTCTACTATTTCATCCAAGCTAAGTTTTTTCTTTTTCTTTTCTTTTCTTCAGTAGTCTGTGAGAACTAGTCACACTACAAGCTATACTGTGGTTTGTTTAACTATTACCTATTGAGAGACATCTTGTTTGTTTCAGATTTCTGTTATTATTAATGAGGTCACCATAAATATTCACGTGCAGGCTTTACACCAACATAAGCCTTCATTTCTCTGGAATAAATGCCTAGGGTTATAATCTGTAAGTCACAGAGTAGCTAATATTTAGTTTTCTTAGAAACTGTCCCACTGCTTTCCAGAGTACTTACTCCATGTTATGTCTCTACTCGTATATAAATCACTCAATTTATCTGTGTCCCACCACAAAGTTGAGATTGTCACTTGTAGTTGGAAGGCTTTTACGCACTCTGCCTGGTCTCCCTGGATCATCCAACAGGTCCCCACCGCCACTTATAAGATAACCACTTGTAGACTTTATATATATATATAATTGTTTGGCTGATGGCTTAGGCTTATTATTGGCTAGCTCTCTCTCTTATAAAGTAACCCATAATTACTAATCTGTGTATCACCATATGGATGTGGCTTACTGGTGATGCCTTGACATCTTGCCTCCCTGGCAGCTACATGGCTTCTCTTTGACCCTGTGTCCTTCTCTCTCTCTCTCTCTCTCTCTCTCTCTCTCTCTCTCCCCTACCTGTATTTTGCATGTCCATTGGCTGAAACAGCTTTTTCAGCAACCAATAAAAGCAACACATATTCACAGCATACAGAAGGACATCCCAGGTCAGTCAAGTTTTCTGTGGAGCTAAACATTCCTAATGTAAATGGAGTCTGACTGGTCCATGTTTAACACCATCTGCATTTGTCAATAGTTTTGCTTCTCCTATTTGACCCAGATTTTAAGAATTTGCTACATTGCTTGTACTATGATTTACATTTAAGTCTTTGACCTAATTGGAGATCATTTTCATGCAGGATTTTTCATCTTTTTTTTTTTTTTGTGCCTAAAGAAGTCCAATTACTCC